ATGGACCCTCTACGTTTCTTCAGTGTAATTGTTCTTCTTGCTGTTGATACCCTGGTCGATGTTTCTCTTTCTTTGAAAGACTACAGAAACACAAGAACTTATAAGCATGGTGACATCATTTTAGGAGGATTATTTCCTCTCCACCTGGTCAAACAACAAGACTCGTGCTCGGACCTGCGACCAAATGTTCTAATGTATGCCGAGGCTATGATGTTCGCTGTGGACGAAATCAACAAAAACAGCTCTATTCTAACAAACGTGACTTTGGGGTATGATATTCGCGACACGTGTGGTGATGACCAAGAAGCAGTAACTGTTGTTTCGGATTTTGTCTTCAGAAACACGCTCAAATTTGACCCTCGTTATCTCGTGACGAACAGCTGTGTTGCGCAAGCAACGTCATCAAAAGAAAATCCTATTTTAGCGGTAATTGGAGGTTTGGATTCGCGGATCTCAGTTAACGTGGCAAATGTCCTCCAAGTCTTGGATGTGCCTCAAGTAAGCTACGGGGCATCAAGTGCGGAACTATCTGACCCCCAGTTTACGTCATTCTTTCGTACCGTTCCGGTGGATAAATTTCAGTCACTAGCTATGGCGGAGCTGGTAGCTCACTATAAGTGGACTTGTGTCGCTGTCATTGGAGTGGATGATTGGTACGGCCGGAGCGGGATTGATGCTTTCGTGAGCGCGGCGAATGATAGCGGAATATGCATCGTCATGCGACAGCTGTTCCCCGTCCACGACTCCGAAGATCTAATTCCTCAAGTGATCACTCGACTGAAGAGCATGGATCATGTGCAAATTATAATATTGTATAGCCTTGTTCCAGAAGCAATAAAAGTGTTTGAGGAAGCACTTAAACAAGGGATGACTGGGAAAACGTGGATTGCGAGTGACGGATGGGCAGAATCCGCATTGATAAGTCAAGAAGTGCGGTTCAAGCCAGTCATTCAAGGTGCTATAGGCTTTGGTTTCCATGGATTTCCTTTCAAAGAATTCGAACAACATATTATCAAGGTGGGGCCTCTTATGGATAAAGGGATCTGGTGGAATGAATTTTGGCAGGACGAATTCAACTGTTCAGCCGTGAACTACTCGAGTCCCTTTTACAAGCAGTGTTCGGGTACAGAGAGGATCTCGCGCGAGACGTACGCCCGAGACTACAGCCAAGGGGTTATTCCATATGTCAGAGACGCAGTGTATTCCGTTGCTTATGCCCTGAGGAATTTACTTAAATGCAACTCTCCAGGAGCTTCGTGTTCTGATCGCATTTCCGCGCTGCGTCCAGACGATCTATTACGAAGTCTCAAGAACCTCTCGGCATTTCAAGGAATTACGGGCCGAATCGACTTTCAAAGGGGTGAGGTTGAAGCAGCGTATGACATTTACAACCTGCAGGAAACGCCTCAAGGCAATTTTGATCTCGTCAAGATAGGATTTTGGAACATGGGAAGAGCGCCGAGATTAAGCGTGCGGGATGATCTGATGCAATGGCACGAGAATGTAAAACCTCGAATTACTTGTGGAGAAATCTGCAAGCCTGGTACCTACCGAAGCAAGCCCAATCAGTGCTTCTGGGAGTGTGTACCATGTGACCTGGACACTGTTAGTGAGTCCTTGGGAGGTTCCCAATGTACTAGTTGTCCCAAAGGTTTTATATCAAACCAAAATAAAACCAAATGCGAGGAAGTCCCGGTCAGGTTCGTGGAATGGGGAGAGGCCTGGGGGATAGCCCTGAGTGTCCTTACAGCCGGGTGCGTGAGTTCCACGTTGGTTGTCATGGCGATTGTCGTACAAAAGCGCCAGACTCCGATTATTCGAGACACGGGTGGAATTCTCAACAACTTATTGTTGGTCCTCGTCATCCTGGCTTATATGTTCAATTTCATCCACCTTAACAAGCTTTCTGATACAAGCTGTCGTTTACTGCCGCCAATCTTCTACTTTGTTTACACAGGCGGGGCATTGGTCCAGTTTCTTAAAGTTTGTCGAATCCGCGCGCTGCTCAAGCCTCTTACGAAAGACAGATCCAAGGTTATACTTTTTATAGTAGCGGCCTTGTGGTTTTTTCCAGTTTTTGTCGCGCTGATATGGATCATTGCCGACCCGCCACTATTTGAAAAACAAATCGACTCGCGCCTCATCGTCTACGCCGCGTGCAAGCAACACCAGAACATCGGTGGAATGATTCTTCGCTATTTCTGTGCATGTTACCTAGCGGCGATTCTGATCGGGTCCATGATAGTTGCGTATAGCACCAAAGGCCTGCCCCGCGGACACAGATTTGACGAAGCAAAACACGTAGCATTTTCACTTACTTTGTTTGCAGTAACTTTTGCCACGTTCTACCCCGGCTGGTCTATTTTGGTAGGCCCAAGCTTAACCGTGTTCGCGTGTCTAACTAATTTAGCCGCTGCGACAGGAACACTTGTTTGCATTTTTGCGCCAAAACTCTGGCTCATTTATCGTTTTCCTCATCATAACACGCAGGCTTATATTCTACCCGCGTTACCTGAAGTAAGAGAAACGAATTCACATTCTTTACTTTCAATTGGAAGAGTTGCTGTGGCGTTAGGAACTGGTGAGCGCCACAGCACTCTGTCGAGGTCTTCTCCACCTGGCGGCTCTCCAACGAGGGGCTCGCCTAAGGCTTCCCCCAAAGGTATTCTTAAGCAAAGCTCTCCAAAAGAATCTGTCAGAAACTCTCTAAATCACCTAACTTTTGGAGGGACTAATCGAAGCACAGCCCAAATGAAAACATACCTCTAACTCTGCATTAGTTTTTGAATAGTTATACTTAAGATCTACCAGTTACTTCTATGAGCGGGGGTTGGTCCCTAATAGCTTGTTTATCTTGCGGTTTTGGCTGGTGCAAACTCTGCGTAGTCTCTGGCGTCTTCCCAGGCCTTCTCGGTCAATGCACTTGGGGGACGTAAACAAATCAAAGGGTAAAACACTCGCTCGGACCACGTGATCCGATACACATAGGCCTCGTGGAATAAAATAAAGGAGGATTAAGGACTAGGCAAGCGAAAACGCAAATGAGCGGCGACGTTAGCGCGAACGAGCGACAAAAGCCTTGTTGTTTCGCTCCATTCTCCTCGCGGCTTTGCTTCTTGCATACGCTCTCTGCAACATAACAGCCAGCTTCGCAGGTTAGGGCTCCAGAGAACTGTTGCTGGCCTCGTTTTGGCGTCTCGATCAGTGGTTGCGAACACTGATATCTATAGAGAATACCAAACACACTAATGCAGAGGCATGCGCAGTGCCTTGAAAACTTACGCGAGAAGAGGGTAAATTTCTGATGGTACTGACTCTTATTTATTTTATTTGTACATTTGCAAGATAAAAAGTGCCAATATTTAACGTTCTGTAAAAACTGGGCCCTCCAGTAGTGAAACATGGATGCTTAGTCCCGTTGCTAGATCCCTGTTGTTAAAGGCCCGTCCGACTGTTGGACCTGTTTGATGTAGCATAGGGATGGACACTAGCAGCCGCCTTGGTGTCGACTTTCACTGAGCTCGGAGCTTTGTTCGTCGATCTATCATTCGACCAGACATTTGGCCCTAAAAAGAGTGAAAAATATTACAATCACGTTGTTTCATACTTTCCTCAACTTAAAGTTGCGTGTGATGAACCCTTTTACGGTCATCTCGCCACCAACGATTGGTTTTTAAACGAACAATAAAGACTTACTTATTTAGGAAGGCTTTTGCCTGTTATAGTTAGATTGATAAATTTTAGATTACAAAGTTTTAGGTATTCTCAAGTTTACTTTATTGTAATTATTACAGGCAGTTATAGTTGTAAGGCGCATTTGATCATATTCAGATGTTAATTTGCGCCTAATAAGAAATAAATTATTATCATTGTTATAAACGAAATCACCACCACGAAGTCTACTCGCCACCCTATAAAACTCCGCAATAATTGACACTGTTTACTCACCTAGGATAGTTACTTCTTTCTCAAGCCCAAAGACAAGTTTTACGATTGTAGTTTTGCGAGCGGAGCGATCTTTTTTCAGACTTTTTTGAAAGTCTAACTTGACCCTGGCCTCCTTAAATTTTATTTTGAATTTAAAGTGAATGGATTTTTCTTTTAGAGACTTATCCTTTTACATTTCTTAGTGGCAATTTCGCTGGTAGCAAGATGGTTTGGTGGCGAGGTGACCGGATACCAAAGAATACAAACAGCCGTACAAAAAAACAAAACGGGTCGTAGTTTTCTTTCTACCTTTATCTGATTTAGATCCTCTTCCCTTTGTGACTTTAGCCGGTTTAAGTCCTATAAAAAATAAAAGACGGTTGACAAATAAATATAACGCTTTTTAATATCCTGAGAAAGTACCAAACACGCGTTACTGCCCCCAGCTTTCTGCGTTGACTGACGCGACGCTGGCGAGTTCTGTGAGTTTAGCTCTCGTTCGGGATACTGAAACCTGTTACGAGGCGCAGTTGTTGGTTCAACTTTACCGTTGGTTTAAATTTTCTTTTCTTTTATGTTTGGGTTTGACAATTTGTGATAATGAATTTGACCCAAGGGAAAATAAAATTCACACCGAGAATAAAATAACACTCTTGATTCAGTTGATTTTGCACCTCTGATTTTTCGCGCTTGGTGATTGGTCAGAAATTAAAAGGGTGCTTACCATTTACACAAACCACCCGGGCAGTGCCGGATCCACACCATGAGATAGGGGCGGGCTCCCCGGGCCCCTCTTCTGGACCCGCCACCGCCGGGGTGCAGAAACTTCAAACAATTTCTCCGCGCTCGGTAAGCCAGCATGCCAAACGTATTTTAGATGATCATACTTTAAACTGAGATTGAGCCACGACATTAGTCCTTTCAAAAAATTTCCCGGTAATTCCTTCCCTGTAATTACCAGCAAGGATTCCAGAATTTTTAAAACGACCTCGACGTTAATCTTGCATTTACCTTTGCCAAATGTCGCAGCAGCCACTAGAGTATTGAGATCGGGATTAACGGTGGAAGAACTTCTTGAGGCTGTAAAAAAAAACACAAAACAAAACAAAGCAAAAGGACCTTCTTAGGCCATCAAATGGAATAATTAGTCAGTTACTGGAGCCCGTTTCTCGAAAGTCCCGATAATTAACGGGCCCGGTAAGCTGTCTCCGTTTACATCAAAGATCGAGGTTTCAATAGTTTTGCATCTAACATGATAAAACTGTCAGTTAATGAAACAAAATGGAGTTGTTTGCTAGCCAGGAGCAGCGCTCTTATTCCTTATATTTCGATTTGAATATTTGATTTCGGGCCCGTAAAGTTACCGGGACTTTCGAGAAACGGGCCCCAGCTGGACCGTAAGCTATGTTCACACAATACGGGATTGCTTTTGCGCCCGCGCGAAAATCATACTGGGTAGGACTTCTGTTAACACATAAGAACGATGATTTTGGCGCCATTTCTGTGACGGAGTGAGGCTGCGCCTCCCCGAACCCAAAAATGGAGCGTCACGTGTCGGATAGATTCTGTTTCACACTTTGGTGCAGTCGGACTGTAGCGGAAGTGAATAAATAGGAGGGAGGACTGGAATCCACTGAGACGGAAGTGAATATTCAGGGGTGAGGACTGGGATTAAGTCAAACCCTCTCGGTCAACTGCTACGGCGCGATGTCCAATGTGTGTGAACGACTTGTTCCGGTTCTATGTCGTTGGTATTCATACTAAACCGGATCTTAAGATCCAGGTAGTCACACAGTGAATATGTCCACAGCAAAACACGTGCGAGAAATACCTGCACTCTGTTCGCCTTCCCAGTCCTCTCGGGCTGATGTGATGTGGTCAATGAGATTGGTGGCAAGTTCATTTAAGGTAGCAATCTGCTTCTGCAATTCAACAACAAATAAATGAGATCAACAATGACAACATTTTTTTTTGGGGGGGGGGTTAGGGAGCTTTGACAACAACGACGGCGACAGCAACGGGGAAGTCAAGAAAGTTTTGTACTTCTCTTTGCCGTCACTGCACGAGTGTGACGTGAATCACTCCCTCACGGTGGGTTTTAGGAAGAAAGTACACACAACACGACGAACTTTGGTTCGGTCCCCTACAATTCATTTTACCTACATTTGATGTCTTAAGCGAATTGAAATGATCGCAACAGATTTTGAAAAAACACAAAGATTATTTTTAATAGCGACGTTTTCGCTGCCTTCGCCATCGTCATTGCTAAAGCTCCCTGTTTTGTATTATGTTGCTTTAACTGCATGAAGAGATTCTTTCACATTCCTAGTCAGTATTAACTGCAAGTTATAAATCAGTTTTATTGGAGATGAAGCAATTCATATTACGTGACTTTGTAATGCTTGCAGTTACGTGACTAACTTAAAATTGAGAGGACCTTATGTTAGGCGATACTGAAAAATGCGTAACACATCAAGATAGACACAGAGCTCTATTGTCATTTCATTTTTTTAATACAAGTTTAATATTTAAACCACCCAGATAACTTGAACCGCCAATAACTCAAATTGTTTTTTGTTTCTCTTCAGAGTTCGAGTTACTAGGGTTCTGTACAGTTCCGCAAATGATACTGTTACTTTTTTGTACTTGGTCTGCTTTACCTGCGCATGATCAGTAGGGATGCTGGTTGCCATAGTTTCCAGTCTTTGCTCTGCATCTTCTATTTCAGGATCGTACTTTGTCCGCAAGTAGTCTGGGACTAGCAGATAAAAAAAAAAGATACAGGATCTTGAAGCAAAAGGTCACCATTTATACAGTACTGATGACATGAATAAAAGATGGATTTAAAATAATGAAACTCAAATTTCTAGCATTGATGATCAATAACTACAATTTAATTAATTGTGCTAACCAACTTCATGGTTGAAGGCTTGAACCCTTCCGTCTGTTGATTTCTGAAAAAAAAAAGTCTATCTTCAGTAATCTAATTAATCACAGCTGCCATATACAGTGATGGAAAAATTTGCTCAGAATGCCATAATGGCTGAATCCTTCCTGTTGTTGATTCCATTGTCCTATTTAATGTGGTGCACTGTACACAACTGGACCAGCGAGTGGCAGATCCAGGGGAGGGGCCCAGGGGGCCTGGATCCCCTCCTATTTTTAGACCAAACTGAGGCCCAAAGGGCCAAAAAAATTTTTTTTGGAGACCCCCCCCCCCCTTATCAAAGGTTCTGGATGACTGCCCCCCCCTTATCTCAAGGTCTGAATCCGGCATTGCCAGCATTCCTTATTTTAACAAAGAGCTGCTATCTGTACTTAACTTACCGTAATCAATAAAATAATGATGCTAATTATTATTACAGTCGGTTGTGGAATGTGGAATATTAATGTAATATTCTGTGTGAATAAAGGAAAGTATTTGTAGGTTCCTGGAAATGTTTCTTTGGTCATTTTAATTTTGATGTTATGTGGTTGTTAATTTCACTTCACTGCAAAAAGGAAAGAACATCTATAATACTTGTCTACTGTTATTGTCTTCACCGAGTCTTGTAGACGTTGTTAAGCCTTTTGTTGTGGCTGTTACGACAACAATAAACCAGGAACAATGCGCTAGCTCATACATACTTATCAGTTCTAATGCAAGCCCGTTTTTGAAGTGTGTTAGGTAAACGGACTCGCATTTATAAATTTCTTGCTAGCGAGTTTGAAGCACGTTGACGTGGATGCTTATCTTTGAGCAGTACTGTAACAATAATGATCTGCACCTGAATGTCAGGATCAACTTCTTGTTGTACCAGAAGAGGTAGCAAGACCAGGTTTCTGAGGGAAGGTGTTTTTTCATTCTTGAGTAGTTTGGTCAATGTGTTCACTTGACCTGTTAAAAGTTAACGTTCACTAACGATGAGAACAATAAGAACTTTTTCCTATATAAAGTCAATTCCAAAAGGCAAGGTTTTATGGTACCAGATTGTTAAGCTACTCGAACCTGAAAGAAGGGCATAGTTATCCAAGATGGACGGCCTGAAATGAAGGAGAAAAAAGCAAAGTACAGTAAACTCTATTTAAGATTGACACATTTGCGACCACACTATGAGTCTGTCTTAGAGCTGAGATGCAGGGGTGGATTCAGGATTTTTTTATGAGGGGTGGATGATACCAATCGGCCACCAAACTATGCATTAATTTATTTTATGTTGTCCCATGTTTGTCCCAAAACATGGCAATTTAGGAAGGACAAGGGCTGGTTGGCTTCAAAAGGCTTTTGCAACCCACATATTTCTATATTTTTTTGGGACCCACGTATTTCTGTTTGTTTTTCCATGTACTATATTTTTTTGGTGGGTTGTTCTAAAGGGGCGTGGCTAGCCACCCAATCTACCCCCTCTGGATCTGTCTCTCAGATGTTTGTCTTATTGAGAGACAACTGTTTAATTAAAAGGAGTACAGTCGACTCTCTCTTAATGGACACCTCTATAAGATGGACACTTCCCTAAAACGGACCCCTAGAGTTGGTCCCTGCCTTTCTTTACTCCCTTTATTTGACTCTCTATAAGACGGACAACTGTCTAAGATGGGCACTTACTGTCAGTCCCAAAGGTATCCGTCCTAGCGGGTGTTAACTGTAAAGAAAGGCAGGCACCAAGTTAAAGAGTGTCAGGGGTGATAAATTTTCTTTGATGTGGGAGATCAATTTCTTAAATCCGCACGTGTGAGACTCACATATAATGCGTGACAGTGGGCAGGCATATTCTTCAGTGATGCAAACGAAATGACAGGGTAGTTAATGATAAAACAAATTTAGACATTAGTGATACACCCACAAAATATCAATAAGCTTCAAAATAAGATGGCCATCGACAAAACCTTTAACAAACTGGATCTGATTAACCACTGTAACCAATCCTTAACCTTTTGCCATTTAGTGAAACATACGGGTTGATCCGATCCAGGTTTTGTTGATCCCTGAATAAATGGCAATGGGCTTGTAGATGATGTGTTTAAAAATTACCAGTTCATCTGCTCATGTTCAAGCTTGACCAGAAATGCCTGGATAGATTCCTTTAGCTCCTGAACACGACTTGTGACGGCTTCCAATGAAACCTCTAACAACTTTTCGTCCTTTTAAGAGAAATTACAGCAAGTTCACTGGGTTACATTGGCTGAACCACTAGAGTACAGTTAGTAAATCATGCGGTGAGCTGTATCATAGCTTTACATGTATGTGTCAATATCAAGCCGATCTTAGCATGAATCTTCCCTAAAAATAGCCAGGCTTACATCAGGTGAATCTACTCATACCTGCATGTTTAGAGTTTTTCATTTACCACAGTTTTTTTGTTCATGTTTTTGTTGTAGCTTGTCAATGATTCCCTTATGTCTGCGCCCGCGATCCCGACGTCGTGGTATCATTTCCCCATACGCGCGCGCAATGGTATTAAAAAAAAACATGGCGGACCGTCTGATGAAATGTCAAAGACTTCAAAATGCAAGGTGGCTGTAGTTCTCCTCGCTTCCATTTACCTAGTTCTTACAATTTATGCACTTAAAGTCCTTCTGTCGAGCGAGGATGAAGCAGCATTTCCAAAACCAGTGACAGTTGTCGCGCAGTCTACCCAAAAAGTTGCCAATGCGTACAAGTCAAGACCATCGCAACATTCCATTGATGTAGAAATTTTGGGGAAAGCGGCCATTGGGTTGTACCTTTGGGAGCATATCCTCGAGGGCCCTTTAGAGGAGAGGCTTGGAGGAGTGTGGAGTTATGGACAAAAGCAGATTCGTAGTGTGCGGTTCACCTTTCGCACTGGCCCAGGCGTTGTTCCTGAGAAAGTCCCAAGACAGGCTAGAAATGTTGTGCTCGTTGTTAACGGACGAGAGCCAAAAAAGGTTGAGTTCGCGCGAGCCTGGCTTGATTCCCTTAAAAATCTTCCAAATCTTCGTCATGTAGCAGTCGTAATTTTGGGAAATGAACGGTGCGAAAATGATTGGTTGTTTCCATACATGCAAATCCATGGCGGACTTGTTCAATTTGCTTTTATTGTTTATGACATCCCGTACGCCGATTCAAAAACCTTTTATCAGTGGCCATTGGGAGTAGCCACGTACAGGAATTTCCCCAACGTCCATTTTATGTCTGTTGATGCTCAAAAACAGCGAAAATTTAGGTGCAATTTTCTAGGTACTATTTATCCCAATTCTTCTCGCATGGTGCTGCAACGGGTTATAAATCAGTTTGGTCTTGACAATCTCTGTTTTGTGAAGACAAGAGATAGCTGGGCACCAGCCGAGACAGCTGAATCAGCCAATGACTTCCGTTATGCTTTAGCTAACAGTGACTTGACTCTTAATCCGGTGGGAATGAATACTGAATGCTATCGCATATACGAAGCTTGTTCTTATGGATCGGTGCCAGTGATTGAAGATGTGGTTACACCTGGAAGATGTAAAAACGATACAATGTCTCCATTGAATCTGTTGAAGACTTTTAAGGCTCCCTTTATCTATCTCAAGGATTGGAGAGACCTTCCCAAGATCATAGAGAATGAGATGCGCTTATCTCACGAGGAGATTGTTAATAGACGACTTAAGATGTTATCTTGGTACAAAACCTTTAAGGATACATTAAGAGACAAGTTTGTTGATGTAATACAAAATACATTTTCCCAATAAAATGTGGATGGCCGAGCTCTTAAGATTTTTATTGCCTGGGACCAGGCTCATTGGTGGAAGAAAGTTGCGCTTGGCTGATTTCGCTGGCTGATTTTTTTTGTCCTTTTCCAATCTTCCCCCACTGCAGAACCTGGTCCTAGGCTTGTTTTTTCATCAGTGTACACCTCTGGACAGTTTTGCAGCTGACATCACTTGGGCCGTGTTGATGGATGATGAGAACAAAAGTATTTCCCCCAACTGGGAACTAAACAATTCTGCCTAAAGAAAAATTAAAATTGTATTTTATGTCCACAAACATGGCTGCCTTGTTATGTTAGCAAAACCTGTACCTAAGAGGTTAGCAAACAGGAGGCTAGTTAAATGACTCATAGATGGTCACCCTTAAATGGCCGCAAACCAACAATTGTTTATTGCCAGCCTGTAAATACAGGTACTGTTTACAGATGCATTTTTCCAGAAATTTGTCTGGCTCACTTAGGCGAGATTTGAGAAAATTTTGGTGGGGGAGCCACCAGTGCAAGCTTGCAAAAATAATTAGAAGAATAGGGCAAAGAAATAACTTAGGACATTGGCAGCGTTTCTTTGTCCCATGCTGTTTGCCTGTTTCATGAGCTCATAATGGCAGCTCCACGGATAAGATTTTTTCCAAACTTGCACAAGTTAGCCTGAAGTGAAGAGGGACAATTAAAACAAAAACTTTGCATTTTGTTAATTTTTTATTTGTGTTTTTTGCTTTGTTGACCTTTTTGTTCCATCATTGTTAATTACACGTACACTACCACTATTCAGTAAGGCTTGTTGGAGCTTACTGTTGTTGAAAGAGACTTTTTACTTTGCGGGAAAATCCACTGATCAAATCGAGTGCAAGTAGATTTGGAGGACATGTTGTGGATCAATTTTATCCTTGGTTTAAATTTCATTTTCTTTTGTTTCAAACTCATTATCAAATATTACCATACCCAAAAACAAAAGAAAATAAAATTTAAGCCAAGGATAGAATTGAACCACTTCATATGCACTTTGTGTTGTAGAAATCCTTTAAATTTTGTTAGCAGTAAGAAAATAGTCCGAGTGTTACTGGAAGCAAAGGTACTGCAGTTTCGTTTCTGAACAGCGGTTTCACCCATGAAAAAAGAATTAATCGAACAAACATGGTGGACGATTTTGGTTGAAAACGTGTTCAAGCGTAACACAACTTAAGTCATTTTACTGCACTGGTTTATTTTGTGATCGATGGAAAGAGTTAACGTTTCAGATACTGCATCAACTTGGCAAATTGTAACGTTTTTCAGAAAAACATAATGTTTGTCGGAGAAGAGCCTGAAAGAGGGGTAAGTGATCACGAGGGACGTTTCCTCTTTCGAATCTGTTTCCTCTCGTTTTATATTATTACAATGTCACACATATCACTATGATATTGAAAAGAAACTTCGATATCCAATCCTGGAATACTGATAGGCAAAAATTCACGTATATGTTATCCTTATTTAAAGTTAATACTTTATACGATATTTTACCGAAGCGCCGGCCCCCAAAGTGGTGATTAATACATGTAATTGAGTCATATATCATTTATTATTATTATTCATTCAAAATCTTTCTCCGTTTCCGATTGGCTAAAAGCACAGGCATAATTCACCATAACCAGCTACTGATGACGAAATTTGGAAGAATTTTGCGTTTAATGAACCGATGACGTCAAAAGTGCAGCCTTCATGCAGGTTAATGCATCGTTAACCGAGAAGACCTGGGGGCGAGGTTGAGTTGTTTTGGTTGTGAAAACAAAAATGGCAGACATTTCACTTGTTTCAAGAGTAAGAACTGAGGCCCTGCCAGAGGGTGGTCCAATGTTGCTCGTCTGAATTTTAAAACGTCTCGTGTTGGTGTTTATAAATGCTTGTCACTTATTGCCGGCTTTGCCATCACTGTCACAATTTGGCAGAGGGAGGTTGTCTCTTGTCGCGATTTCATTTTACGCACTGTCGCTACTTTTTGGGCCATGTCGCTTGTTGGAATTTACCCTGGCAGGGCCTCAGAACTAGGCGAAATAATAGCTAAAAATATGGCAAAAAAGCAAGAACACAACTTGAAGGGCAACATCTGCTATTTGGAGAATATTTGCAGAGCTGAACAACTCTAAACATACACTATCGAAGAAGAACTTAACATCGAAGGAGGCAAGCATGTTTTAGCTATGTTTTTACACTAGGAATTATTTTAAATGAATAATAAAACAATTAGTGAATTTGGCTTTCGTATTGTATGAAGGATTATGGAGATCTGCCCCCCCGCCCCCCCCTCCAAGACATAAGCGTACCAATATCCTCAGGGTGACAATCAAGACAGTGATGTTAAACACATGTTAATTTGAGTTTTATTTTTGTTTTCTCTCTCCAGGAGGATGCTCTGGATGTGTTCCTTCTAATGGGAAAGGAGTACAGAATATCTAGGAGTATTCGAGCACAGTGGTTCTTTCAGCAATTTAACTCCACCCTCCCCTCCCCCAAGCCAAAAGATGAGTTGGTAAGTTTCAAATTAAATTAAAGTTGTTGAATGTCTGCTAAGAACTTTATTGTAAATTTCATTATAGTGAAGGGGTTATTAGAGTTTTCTTTTAAAAATAGGCATGGAAAAATTAATAACATTACAGTAGAACCTTTATAATTAATTCAAACTCCCCGCTAACTCGATTTAGATCCAGTTTCCCTTGGATTTCACTCCACTTTCCAGTCATTTTTACGCAGTTAACTCAAATTCGGATAAATCTAACTCCCCACCAACCTTGCTAACTGGAACTAAATTTCCTTTCCCTTGATCACAAATTTACCCCGATAACTCAAAATTGAGGTTTTCTTAACTCCACTCAGATGCTATCCCATTAGAAGGGTTAAAACACTAAAAGTTCTAACACTGGTCAAAACTAAAGCTATTTGATTTAATTGCTGAAACAAACAGATCACGGGTTATCATAAAAAATGCCTTGTCATGTCAGCTGTCATGTGACCGTTTCTGAAGAAATAACTTTAATATGCACTGCACCAACACTGAAGTGCTGAACATCAGCAACTATCAATTTTTAACACATGACAAATTGAATTTTCCAATTGACCCCGATAACCAGAACCCTTTTTCATTTCCCTTCAGATTTTAAGTTTCCAGGGTTCTACTGTATGTTGAAGTTCTCCATGACAGGTTACAAACACAAGGAGGGCAGGGCTTGTACAACTTTGATTTATCTTGATCATTTAGACTTAAAAGCAAGTCAGACAGCCAGCAACCCTGCTCTTGTTAGAAAATTGTACTGGAGAGAGTGAAAGAACTATCCAAAACTGTTTAACTTCATAAGGCTGGGAGGTGTACTTGTATTTATGGTGTGTTCTTTCTTCTAGAAATGGAGCAAAGGATGTTGTAGATTAATGAAGTAAATGTTAGTCCTTGAAAAATAAGTTTCATCCTTGAAACTTCCTTGTGAAGTTGATTAAAATTTTTTTTGTCTGAAGTTGTATGAACCATGTCTTACACAGGCCTAATTGGATGGGTTAAGTACAACTCTTACAACAATATGCCCCTTTTCAGTTTATGGCAATTCTTGTACATGTACAGTCTGAATTCATGTTTTTTTTCTCCAAATGTCATTTATTGTAGGTCTTTGTTTTGTAGCTTTTAAGGAGAATTGTACACATGAACATTCCATAGTCTGGAGTAATAATAATAATAATAATAATAATAATAATAATAATAACTTTATTAATCTCCTCTAAAAGGCTTTTCAGCTTAATTTACAATGTCAAATATCTAAAACTTAGTTTTCCAAAAATACCCTCAAAAAATGCTGTTTTATTTTTACTTTAAATACATCTAAATTCGTGATAGACTGAAACTCGTCTGGGAGACTACTCCACAGCTTTTGATCTCTGAAGGTAAACGTGTGCTGACCTGCAGCTGTCCTACAGAGTGGTACATTTAGGGGGTCCCTATTCCTGGTATTGCAGTTGTTTACGTGTAAACATTATTATTGATTTTCATGTAGATTGGGTCAAATGAAGAGCTGGAAGTTTTGTCAGTCATTCCAAATAATCAGCGGAATCCAGGACCTTACAGACTTGTACCCTCAACTCATATCACCTTTATTGGCAGGCGATACCGATTTGTTTTTTGCCTTGATATCAGCCCATCATTGGCCACAGTGGTAAGGTGATGCTATCAGTATTATTTATTGCCAAACACAGTTGGATGACTTTGCGCATGAGCAGACCATTATTAATTTTGTAGGCAGTTATTTGCAGGTCATTTGGTAGGCTTTTGGCCAATGAAAGAGAAGAACAATTTGCATGGAAGTCATATTCTTTCTGTTTTTTTTTAGGATATCCAATCAGGCACTGTTATCACAGATGAAGCATTTGAAAAACTGAAGAACTGCCTTTGTGGTCTTGTTGCTCCAGTTAGTACTGTATTCACTGCTAACTATGTTTTTTTTTACTATGCAACTGTTGTGGGGGACATGCCTGGTCCAGTGACATTAAAGCTATGTTTCTGAAGGGGATTTACATGTATGTAACTTACTGATGCAGGGTGTCAGAGTTTCAGGCTTTTGGAGATTTTCGTGATCTGCCGAGGAGAAATAGCAGGAATTGAATCTTCATAACAGGGACAATAGCTAAAACTGTTACAGTAGGTTAAGTTGTAGTCTTGAAACATCCCTATTGGTCAACTGTTTGATGTTTATTTTGCTAATGTTTAGCATTAGCAAGTATCTTGCAAATGTCAATAGCCCTGGGAATCCCTGCCCTCCCCTTCCTGGGGCAAGACATAGACAGCTGCATTACCAGTTGGGGTGAATCTAGCCCTTGTGTTTTCCTCTTTGATTATACTTTCTTAATAAAGCCTTGGATAAATAATTAGTAACACTATAATTATTCAGTATCCTACTCTTTGCAACTCAAAGAAAAACAAAATTTAATGGATTGAACAGTGCATATTAAAATTCTAACATGACTCCGAGGCTTTCTGGTCATTTTTCTATATTTGGTTTTGTTTTCTTTGTGCTCAAGTCTCTTCTGGGAATTGCGAGACAATGGAGTTGTGAAAAGTTTGCAATTTTGTCCCTAAAGTCTCAGATATGTATTTTTCCATTTCTGAACAGTTTTGTGTGCCAGGAAACTCTATTGTGCTGTCTCCAGAGTTGTACATCACTGTGCTGGCCTATACATCCATCTTAAATCCTGAAGTGCCACAGGTATGTGTGAAAAGGGTTGGAACAGGTACCTTTTGTTAAACTCAGGTGTCTGTCTATGTAGTTTAATTTGTGGAATTTCATGTAAGATAAGGATCTTCAAACCAGCTTTTCAAACTCAAAATCATGACAAGAAAGCAAAGGATCACTACGGTGTAAGACATTTTAGCCTGTGTGGCAGCTCATTGAAAAAAAGGCAGGGGCGTGGGGAAGGGGGGAATTTTACATAACTGTATGACTAGAAATCATAATAGAGGGTGTGCCCACCCCCTTCTTGCCCCAGGCTTTGTCTTTCCTTTGAAGGCAGCTCCCCCTTTCCCCTTCCAAAACCTGTCTTGTAGGCTAAGGAGGTTTTGCCAGATAACTACCATAAAATTTTGTGAACTTCTTTTAAGGTGATGTTAGAGACAATTTGCAATGACGATCTTTAGTGCAACACAGTGTTACAACATTATTGTGACATTGTTTCAAAAGGCTGCAACATTGTTCCAGCATTTGAACCTGGTGTTGACTAAGAATTGTTGTGGTAAAATGTCTTTTGTAACATCACCTGTAGTTTTGAATTTCCTCAAAAATAATTGATCAAATTAAGAAACTATATTGTGAATTTCTGTTACTTTTTGATGTGCATAATAACTTGCAATGCTGAAAATAACAATATTATTACTAGTTTGTAATCCAAACACTCTCAATTGTTTCATGGTCATTGAACTTTAACTCCAAGCAAAATAAAGAGATAAAAGTTCCATGCATGAATTTTATCAGTGTCATGTTTTTGAAATTTGCAATACCCATCATCCTCTTCTATTTAAATTATTAAAAATGTGCATAATTTTTTATATGTAATGAATGTCAATAGTAAATATCATGTCTTTTTGACAGGAAAAAATAACAGATTCCCATTTTGGGATATTTTAGGGTATTTAAAGAACACCCATAAAAATCCCAAATTTAGCAAAGTGAGACAAGTCCCAACCAGGGAATTCCCAACTAAGTTCCCTGATTGGGACTTGTCTCACTCTTCCAAATTTGGGATTTTTGTGGGTATTCTTTAAATACCCTAAAATATCCAAAAATGGGAATCTGTTATTTTTTCCTGTGTTTATTATTTAAACTTCTTCCTTTAAGGTGCTCATTCAAGGTTGTCTGGTGACAGAACAGAATGTAAATACTGTGCTAGAATTGATTCAAGACCAGCTGAAAGGTTTAGAAGACTTCCTTGCTAAGACTACCTCTACGTTACATGGCTATGATGGCAGTGAGGAGGTAAAGTTTGTGCAGAAAAAAAAAAAAAAATATCTGTGTGATTTTGCTAAACAGTGCCCGCTCAGTTTTTGCTTTGTTCAAGCCAGTGTAGCTGGAAAAAAACTAGGGGGCTTGCCATCTTGCTGGGTGTCAGCAGAGAGCCCAGGTCCAGACCTATCCATGGGTGGGTGGCTGACTTGTTTTGTGTCAAAATCAGGGGAGTAGGGAGGGGAGATTTTGTCACTTTGGTTAGAGTTTCAAGTCAGAAAGCAGTACAAAGTCAGAGAATTTTTCTTTTGGGCTTGCCCAGCCAAATCAATGCTGTGACTTATAATCAAAACACTTCTAGCAGAGCTTGGGGGAAGTGATTGACTAGACATAAGCTTCATGGGTGGGGAGGGTGAGTAGTTGTTCCTTGGACTTGGCTGTCTAGAGACTCAGTACAGGCACCTTGTGTGAAATCCAGACAGATATATATTTTGGCGGTGGCCTAAAAGTAATTATGATAGCCTGAATGGACCTGCCCAAACCTATTTAAGGAAGAAGTTCAGGGTTATAGCTGGTATCTAAGTCTCTCACTATACAAAACATACAAACATGCTAGATGTGCAGCTATTCAGAACAGCAACTGGCCAGCAGTCCATTGTACAATAAGGATCATGTAGTGTTTACGAGTATGAACTCCATCAAACATATTGGAAATAAATGCAAAACGCTTGAGCTAACTTTAATGTTGATTTTAAGATTTGTACTCTTTATGGTTTCCATTGTTAGAGATTTTCTTATTTTGATTTCATGTTTTATTGTAGCCCATACATATCAGCCAATCAGAATGTTGGATTTGCATTTGAGTACTGTCTAGTAGAATTATTATTATTTTTTTTATCATGATTATCCTATTTTCAGAGTAATAAAGCTGAAAGTGACCAAGGAGGGAGGCATGAGGATTCAGTGACGCTCATGTCCCCTGAGGCTGGACCCATTGCAATAATGCGGAACACTCTTCTGGCGCTTCAGCTGCTTCCGTGCAATGCAAGTGCAGGTAACATTGAGCTCTTGAAATCCTAAATTAGAGTAAATGTGGCAGATGCAGGGTTGTCAGAAAGTTTTGAATAATATGATATTTTATTTAAAACAATAATATAATAATATTTTATTTAAAAACTGCCGTCCTCAAAGAAATGCCAAGCAGAGTAGCAGGCCAATAGTAGGGACCTTAAGCAAGGATGACAACGACGACGGCAGTGAAAACGTCAGTAAAAAAATGAATTTGCGCTCTTTCAAACTTGATCGCGTCTATTTGGACCAACTCAATATGTCAAAAGCAGGTGACTTTTCCTGTAGTTGAACTCTAAATGATTTTATTCAGGTGCAAAAAGAGGAAGGAAAATTCGTTGTCGCATGTCCACGTCCTCCATAAAATGGCAAATTAGGAGGTTTCACGTCGTAGTCGTGCAGTGGACCTCAAAGAAATGTTCTAAAAACCGTGATGCACGTGTAGAACCGTTGTTTTGATCATTAAACCTATTGCTTTTTGAAGTCGTCGTTGTGGTCATCGTTGTAGTTGCTTAAGCTCCCCACTAACCAAGTAGGTGGTGGTTTTCACTGGCAGCCGGCTATGTTTGACAACCCTGCAGATGTAAAATGCTGCTTTTCTATCTTCTGCACCATAACTGTGAATGAAAGACGTGATGCAAAACTACTATGGTGTCACTTTTCAAATAAAATCTACTCAGCAGTAGTTTCCTGTGAGTTGTTGCATGTACTTCTTATTATGCTGTATTTTTTATACATTAGGTGGTTCCCATCTTTTGAACTCCCCTGTGAATGAAATCCTATGGTGCGATTATTCAAATGAGCCATTTGAGGTGCCACCCAGGCGCAGTTGCCGTTGATGCTTTTTCACTTAACTTACGTTATCTTAAATTCTATGCTTTTCCCCCACATACATGCCAACTCTTCCGTATTATCTGGGAGTCTCCCGGATACGACACCAATCTGCAGGTCTCCCGTACGGGTCACCACATCTCCCGTATAAAAATCATCTTTTGAGCTTTTCTGTGCCTTAGTTTGAGATTTAGCCCATTTTTAGCTCAAAACAGAATTTTTCTTATTCGTAGTACGGTTTCTGGGGCGTTTTTGCACCTATTTAGTCACTGACAAAGATTATTTCTGGCATCAAAACTATGATCGCAAATTTTGATGGTTTGTACTTCATGCAACACTTCATTCTTCACTTCTTTCTGATCAGGGGCTGTTGTGATCACTGATGGGGTATTTGCACTTCCCGATGCTTCAGCAGTTGATTCTCTTTTGGCGCAGTTCAGAGCCAGCACTGTTTGCTGTTCTTTTATTAAAGTTGGAAGTGGTTTTCATGCCCACTGCAGGTTTGTATTTTTTGACAATAACAAAAAAACAAAATACACATAATTAATTTCATAAACAGAATTAGAAGTAGAATTATTGAAGTTATTTTTTGAAAGCGCATTACTTTCATGTTGCTCATACATGGGGATCATCAACTAGGCCTTCTAGCTGATTTAATTTGTCCACAAAACATTGAATTTTGTATTGAACACTTAGGCTTTCAAAAATTATAAATTCTTTTAAGGAAAACATAATATTAATATGAGTATACTTCGTTTGAGCCAGTTTAAAAATATGGTAATTAAATTGAATAAATAAATAAGAGAAGAAACATTCAATATTTAAATTAAAATTGTTGTGAGTCATATGCATTGATGCAATTAAACTGTTTTCTTTGACATTTTTAATAAAAGTTTACTATTTAAATGCATGGTTTTAATAATCATTTTTTTATAGATGGTTTTCACGGCACTGACGTCATCAAATTGTGAAGTCAAGACAGCTATATAGGTTTTACAAATTCTCATTTACACAAGGTTGAAGATAAACAAAAAATGAATCCTTGTACAAGTTTCCAGTCCCATAGCATGTTTCATTTCGAAAATACAGCAATTTGAACTTCTAAGTTTTCACAGTGTGTGACACAACATATGAATGCTATTTTGTGGAAAGAAAGCCTCTCCTCATGATTTTCAGGAGTTTAACCATTTTAAGTATTAGAAGATGTGTTCATGCTCATGTATGCTAGTTCTGGAATGAAAAGAAAGAGCTTTTATGGAAAAGTGAACTCCAGATGTTTTCGTTGATTTCCAGTGGCCATATTTGGGGTGTCTAAAAAACACAGACCTTGAAAACCCTCACTGTGTTTTCTAGACATCCAATTTGTGTACCAAAACTGTACACAAATATGGCGTCTCCATACAAAGCTCTACAATGGTGCGTGAAACGTTTCAGCAAATAACTCGGAAACTGTGGGCGACATAGACCTGAGACTTGGACAAATTGTTTATATAATATCAGTCTTTTGTGAAATTTCGTTTTCTTGGCTTCTTCTACAGGATGGTTTCAATTTATTTTTTGTGCCGTGTTTATTGCGTGACAATGAAAATGATCTAATAATTATTGTCTTTTATTTCTTCTCAGCCTTGCTTATGTTCCACACTGCGACCTGATGCAGTTCATTGCCATGGCAAGCTCAGGAGCTTATCTTGCTAATGCTCCTCCTGTGAGTAAAAAATTTCCCCACATGACTCGGCATATATAATAGCCTGGGATTTAAACTCAGCACATGGACTCCTGATTGTTTTTAGTAGACAAACTTATAGGGGTAGGGGACCCTCTTCCTCTTTCTCTCCTTATTTTTTTTTGTCTTGCTCTTTGACTTCATGCCGCACTCCACTATCTGAATGCCTGGAACAGGCTAACTCATACAATGTACATATAGTTTGATCAGTACTAGATGCCACAGGATTCCCAACTTGTGATTTAAGTTTGAATTGCAGTAGATCAACAGAAGTTTTTCTTGCCATTTGTTTGAGAAAGTGATGTGTTGTTTTTAGGTTTCCAGAGCAGCTAAGGGTGCAGATGGAGCAGGTATTTATTGTTTACCGTTAAAAGAATAATTGTACTTTAATCTTTAATGAATTGCTGTACATTTTGTTAGTCGCATTAGCAATATTATGGTTCATGTGATGTATGATCTTTATCATTTAATATGTATATGTCTTTTAACATATTTGATTCCTTTCTCTAAGTGTACATTTGTCCATGCTAGATTTCTTTTGAATAATTTGTTTTTTCATTATGCTCAGGAAGTTTTTGTGCTATTGGTTATCTCAAACCTAATTCCCCTCTCCTCAGAAACCAACATTTTGACAAATTGAAATTAGATATGGAATGATAGATGAATAAAAACAAGATCAATGTGCTAGCTCTTAATCATTACTTACTTGCTTATTTATTTATTTATTTATTTATATAAATAAATAATCGTTTGTGCATGTTCTTTTTTTTCCACAGAGGACTTCACCATGAATCTCTACCACAAGGCTCTTCTCTGCTGGAGCTTTCAAAGAGACTTTGATCTAAGCAAGATTGATTCGTGGATAGGTAGGTGTTAATTCATAAACATGACTTGTCAAAACCGGCCTCTACCTCTTCTACAAGCTCACAAGATTTCTGTACTGGCTGGCTGTGCAAGCTTTAGTTAGTTTTCCTGGTCCAGAAGTCCCAATCCTACACCTAACATGTAAAAGGTTAGAGGTCAGACCTGACCTTTGTTTCATTTGCTGCAGTGTAATTTTTATTTCTTCCTTTTTATGATTGAAGGTGATTGCTTAGAATTGAGCAGTGAGGATTTAGCCTGGGCATTTAAAGGCAAAAGGTAATGAGTGATTAAGGGTCTGTTACAATGTTCCAAAGCACTTATTGTTTTGTTTGTCAGTTGTTTTTAGTGGGAGGCAAGGTAGTCTATTGGGTTTGATTATCCATCAAGGGTCATTCTTGAGTCCTGGTCTTGGCCATTGTGTTGTGTTCTTGGGCGAGACATTTGACTCCTACTGTGCCTCACTCCACCCATGGGGTGTATAAATGGGATGGGTAGCGGCAAATTTATGTTGGGGGAGGGACAACATTGCAATGGGTTAGGATCAGGGGGAATAGAATCATTCCTATCACTTCATGTTGTGGACATCCAGATATCTATGCTCTGGCCTTACGGGCTTCTTTGTCTGGACGCAGACTTTTTTACCTTGTCTGTTGTTTAAAGCTTACCTGTTTGTTTGGAAGTTTTTTTTTCAGATGTTTTGGTTAGTGCTTTAGCCTTAATCATGTCTTGTAGCTGTTGCATATTTTACGACTTTGTTTTAATGGTAACAGGCTGACAGGGCAGCTTATCTTAATTTCCTCCACAGTGTCTCTTTGCAGAACCTCTGAAGTTTCGAAAATATCATAATAAATCATGTTTGTTTCAGGTCAATGTCCTATGCCCTGAGTGAGTGGGAAAAGAATGCGATGCAGCCGTCAATGCGTAAAAGGCACCTTGAGACCAAACTTCACACCAGTATCACCAGGTATCTTACACTTCTTCATAAATGTACTCCTTTATCATCAAGACTACCAATTTCAAGCAAACAGCGCAATTCAAAATTTCAGTTGTGTAGGAGCTGCTCAAAATGTCTCTCCTGATTGGTCGTAGAAAACAATGACTCGTCATTCTTTGAATTGTTTCAGTATTGTTTGGGGTCAGGGTTAGGCACCATTGGTGACTTCTCTTCCGAGCATCTGCTACATGACCCCAAAATTTTTTTGATTTTTTAAGCAGTAGTTGTTGTGAACGTCTACCCAATCCTTTGAAGGCTTAAGAATCAGCATTGCTATTCGTTTACACACGAGAACGATATTTATCCAGTTACGAAACTGTGCATAGCACAAGCGAGTGGCAAACAAGAAAACTGCGAGTCGCTTTGCTTAATTATAAATCAGGTCATGTATTTACTGATGTTGCAGTGAAGAAAGCAGGTGATCAAGACTTGTTAATCCGATAATTTTTGTGACCTTAAACAGGTATTTTTGGTCACAAATTTCGTAACTCTTATTCAATTAACAGTGTTCTTAGTGTGCGACTTAGAGAAGGATATTCAATTCAAGATGTGTCTATAACGAAAGGTAAGTGGAGCACATTGCCTACAAATTACAGTGTCTAATGTACGGTAAATATAGAGTATACCTTGTGGTAGCAGAGCACAGCGTCTCTGACATTCAGTACAAGAAAGTGTGTTAGTTGAAAAGGGCGTGGTCTCTGGTGCAAGTGCTTTACCTACCAGTCTCGGAAAACCGCAAATGACTTTTTTTTAGCCCTGAAACTAGTACTGTATCACATCCTCTCAAAGTCTGGGAATGCTCACAGCGCAGCTTGTTTCTTTTTCTTTTTCTTTTTTTGTCAGTAAGCCAAAAGACCTAATCAGTGTGTTCTCTTGTACTTTGTGAATTTTTTCTTTCGTTAAGGTGGAAAGCAACTACAAGTGACGCTGACCATCCCTTGGAAACATAACGTGCAGATCGAATATTTGGCGCTTTCTGTAAGTGGATTTATCACACGCTGTTTACGTTTTCTCGCTATTCCATTTCCTATTCATTAGTTTTAGATCCGGAGTGTAAATGCTAAAACTTTGTTGGGAGAAACAGTAAGAGTTATGGTACTGTCCCAACGTAAGCACTTCTGAAGGGTATCACTTTGTGGTAGAAACAACTTTGGAGTAGAATTCTTTGTAATAATACTCATAAAAAATGCACTTTGAGTGTCCATGTATTCAGGACTAGAGCGCTAATGGAGCACACTATTCTAATTTTTACGTCACATTCTGGTGACAGGGCCGCCATTTTACGTGGTCATCCGAGCCATGGGAAGGTCTACCCGTTTTCAGGGCAAAGGGAGTACCTTCATTTCTCAGTTATTTTAAGACCCTGAGTGTTGGTCCGGCCCACGGAATCGAACCCACAACCTCCCGCTCTGCAGTTAATTGCTCTACCGACTGAGCTAATCTTACTGCGGTAAAAAATTGCATTTCAAATGACACTTTCATAAAATGCTTGTAGCCTGTGTACGGACCCCCCCTCCCCTCAGGAAACCTTCTCCGATTTTTCCTGTGGGGAGGGGGGTCTGTACACGGGCTAAATGCTTGCGGTAGTCTCATTTTGTGTTTGCTTTTGTAGGCGTGGCCTCTTACCCCTACCAAGTAAGTTATTAGGTCCTGTTTTTTTATTATTTAAATATCAACTCGGGGAAGAGGGTGAGCTGACAACGGCATTCTATTTTCTCACCTTCGCCTTATACATGACCGCCCGTAGATCCAAGTCAAACGTCGGAGTTCGCATGTGATTATATTGCTTATACTACTACATGAGAAATTTTTGCAATTTGATTGGCTTAGAGCAGTGGTATTTCAGCTTAATTTGAAATACCTACATGTGAAAATTACAACCTTTTGCGGTTAGTCGTATAAACAAATAATAGCATGATTTGTACGTGATTTTTGGCATAAATACCACTCGTGATATTTCAAAATTGTCCCAAATGTCACTCGCCTAACGGCTCGTGAAATTACGTATAACAATTTTGAAATATAACTCGTGGTATTTATGCCAAATATCACTACCAATCATGCTATTACCTATACTAATGAGCGAAATCTAGTGTTTTTACTCATTAACGTTTTAACTTTTGGTTCGTTGCATAAGTTCAGCGTTTGAACCGGATGCTAGTAAAAAAAATCGCCAATTCTTGGGGCCCTCCATACGTTTTCCCTGCGGTAAATGGAAGTTTAATTATGATTTTGCTTTTCACGGTGTTCAATCTCACTCGGTCAAATTTCTTGATTGTGGCAATCATGTCAACTCTGTTACAGACCTCTCTGCCTGCCCCCTCCCCCCGAATGAACTAAATTTCCTCATTTCTTAATAATCCTAAATGAGTAAAGCTAACGTTACCGCTATCAGTCAAGTGCATGAAAAATCGAGTCACGCGAGGAAATGTAACACGCGTGGTGTCACGCGTCATGGTTTCTTGTGCGCGTGATTTTTTTCTTGTAGTCTGCGAAACACTTCAGTATGTGGAAGATCACTTCACCCTAGGCGATTCAATATGCGTGGTACCACGTATCGCTTTTTCTCGCGCACTAGCGCGCGTTCCTCTCGTGGTCTACAGCTCATTCTGCATAATTGCATTTTTCTTGTCTAGCCGCATCACTCATGTTGAAGTAACAATAGAGGCACCTTATGAGTTCCTTCATGATGTTCTTTATCCAACCAAACAACCCTTCAGTAGTGGTTACAGGTAAAATGACTTGCTCATTCTACACTTTGGTAAATAAGTCGANCGTGGTACCACGTATCGCTTTTTCTCGCGCACTAGCGCGCGTTCCTCTCGTGGTCTACAGCTCATTCTGCATAATTGCATTTTTCTTGTCTAGCCGCATCACTCATGTTGAAGTAACAATAGAGGCACCTTATGAGTTCCTTCATGATGTTCTTTATCCAACCAAACAACCCTTCAGTAGTGGTTACAGGTAAAATGACTTGCTCATTCTACACTTTGGTAAATAAGTCGACAAAGATTGTAAAGGTTGTAGAGATCGTAACGAAAGCAGCAATCGTAACGATCATAGCAGTGGTAACTACCTTAATAATCGTGACCATCGTAGCAATCGTAGCGATCGCAGTGATTGTATCGCGGAATGTAGCGATCGTAACGATCGTAACGACAGC